CAGAAATTCAGAAATTCAGAAATTCAGAAATTCAGAAATTCAGAAATTCAGAAATTCAGAAATTCAGAAATTCAGAAATTCAGAAATTCAGAAATTCAGAAATTCAGAAATTCAGAAATTCAGAAATTCAGAAATTCAGAAATTCAGAAATTCAGAAATTCAGAAATTCAGAAATTCAGAAATTCAGAAATTCAGAAATTCAGAAATTCAGAAATTCAGAAATTCAGAAATTCAGAAATTCAGAAATTCAGAAATTCAGAAATTCAGAAATTCAGAAATTCAGAAATTCAGAAATTCAGAAATTCAGAAATTCAGAAATTTAGAAGTTCAGATATTTAGAAATTTAGAAATTCAGAAATTCAGAAATTCAGAAATTCAGAAATTCAGAAATTCAGAAATTCAGAAATTCAGAAATTCAGAAATTCAGAAATTTAGAAATTCAGAAATTCAGAAATTCAGAAATTCAGAAATTCAGAAATTCAGAAATTCAGAAATTCAGAAATTCAGAAATTCAGAAATTCAGAAATTCAGAAATTCAGAAATTCAGAAATTCAGAAATTCAGAAATTCAGAAATTCAGAAATTCAGAAATTCAGAAATTCAGAAATTCAGAAATTCAGAAATTCAGAAATTCAAAAATTCAAAAATTCAGAAATTCAGAATTTTCAGATTTTCAGATTTCTGGATTTTCAGATTTTCAGATTTTCAGATTCCTGGATTTTCAGAGGTTAATAATATAATTGAAGAGGTGGGGGGAGTAGATTATGATTATAGAGATTACAGAGGTGGGAAATTAGATTAGAAGAATTATGAGGTGCCAAAAGTTAAACAAAAATTTGACATAGAAAACAAAAACGGATTCGGGATGCTAGCAACAATTTGACATTAGTAGGGTAATCTCAATGGAGCGCACATGCTCACCAACAAAAATACCAAATTAAAGAGAGTACAGGAAAAAACAAAGAAACAGGTATCAGTTAGAGACAAGGAAACCAGAGAATCACAAGAATCGAATTACTTGGGACTGAATAGAATGCCCAAGCTCTTTGAGCTCACTTATCTCAAATTCCGTAAGAGCTATTAAAAATCTATAAACTAAAAAAATGTTGTTTACAATATGACCAGCATTCTGCCAGTTGACAAAAATTTTGATAGCTCTTAAGCGAACCTAGATACTTGAACTCAAATTATTCAATTGGAGTCAACGCTGGTTGCTTTCCTGCCTTCACTGCCTTGTCGAATCCCACTTCCCACAAGTTTTCCAAATCCTTGAAGTGATGATTTTGCACCCTCTCTGCAGCCTCTACATTTTTCACTTCACCATTGACTTGATTTTTACGCTTCCTTTCGATGCATCTGATGTAGAAGAAAAGAGAAGCAGGAAGGACGAGGATCGCGTAGATGTAGGTCTACAAAAGTTTTGTTTAGAGAAGACTGTCGAGGAGTTGAACTCACATAAGCCCACAAAACATAGTTTCCCAGAACCGATCGATCATAAGTATCCACAAGACTGACAAGGCAGAGGACACCAGCCGGATACAATGCCATGATGAACATTGAGATGGTCGCAGTCCCGAGTAGAAAGCGAGAAGAGTTGAAATTCACGATGTTCTGATATGTTCTGTTCACGTTTCCTTGTCTACTGAAAATTGAAAAGAATTGAAGTTTTTTGACTCGAGACTGTTTGGAAGTTAAAAACCGCACTAATTTTAAACTTATATATGTAATCGGTTAAAACGAAGCCGGCTGCTGACTCTCGACCGCGTAGCTCAATCGTTAGAAGTGCGAAACCCTCAACAATTAGTCTGTATGTTCAAATCGTCAAGAATCTTTATTTAGCTATCTTATAGGACGTTTTTCTAATGTCTCAACACTTTGAAGGTCCAGGAAGTCTGAGACGAGACATTTATCAAAAATAACTCCTCGTAATTTGGTTTCAGAAGTCCCTCGAGGAGTTTAAAACCAGGAAACATGAATGAAAAAAACAAACTCACACTTTGTTCCGAGACCAGCTCATCGAGAACGAGAAGACGTTGAGCAAAAATGAGAAAACTGCCATTCCGACGTAGACCCATAATTGGCTTCTCAACTCGTTCAAGTCTCGACCCGTTCGAGACAGGCAGTTGGCCATTATGTTGCCATTTGGACCATCGCAAGTCATATAGGCACACAAGGCAACCGATGTGATGAACTGAAAAAGTGACACCCATTAGGATGGTCACATGCACAGGCTGTTAGCCGATGAACTATTTTAAAGAGTTACGATAGTCTCACGAGAATTTTAAAGGTGTAAACTGCGAGTAAACCGTCACATCAGAACGCACAGATCTATCTAGAGCCTCTCCAACTCACTGTGAATACGATGAAGACATATCCACGAGCCTTGGTTGGTTCCCGAATATTGCGAAGATTGAGAAGACTGTAAATTCAAAGGTTCATCAGAGATCTCGAGGAGTTTAACTCGTAGCCCAAACATTGGAAGTGCCGCGTTGCTACCAGCTGAACTACAGTGGCGGCATCTGCGACGCCGACCAATATTAAATAAACTAAATTTACATGTCAATGGCCAAGAATATATAGTTGAACATCACCAAAAGTCGACTGAGGATGTTGAGACGATAAAATGGGAAACATTCGTATTCGGTGAACATAATGCTACACGGATCGCTCCAATAGGTGAAACTTCGTTCTAGGGACCAGAGCTGAAACACTTATCCTTAGTTTACTGTGAATTGAGCTCAGTTGCCTAGGTTCCTATAAGAGGTAACAAAAGGTTGTCTGTCAATTTTTGATATCTCTTACAGAAATCTAGATTATTCAAGTCAAGTTGTCTTACCTGGATGACAAGGTAGATCACATTGTGAAGAGCTCCAAAACTTATATTGGAAATGAGCAGGATAACCGTAGACGTTTGGAAGTAGGCAGTGTTGAGGAGTTTTTTGATTGCCTAAAGATTCAGTTACCGTAAGACGTCTATTGAATAACCACCAGAGATGTCCGGAATGACTTTATTGAGAAACGGAATCCGGAATCCGGAATCCGTACAAAGAAAAACTTCCTGGAATAAGGAATGAAACTAACTTTCCGGAACCCGGAGTACAGGAACACGGAATCCGGAATTTTGCGTTCTTCAAATGGAGCAGAAAAGTTTTAAAAACACATATCGTGCTTTATTTTTGCATTTTTAGTCGCGGAAGTTTAAAAAAGTCAGAGCATTCTTGCAATTCAACAAATATGCTTAAAATCCGGATTGTACATTTTTCTCGGAATCCGGAATCCAAAATTCGGACTCCGGAATGAAAAAAAGCACGGAATCCGGAATCCGAACATCTCTGATAACCACCCCTAATTAGAGACCAGCCTCAAATATTACGCCACCTCAGATGACCTCCGAACAATGCAGTGGCATGACCACCTAATAGAGTTTTCACTGTAGTTGAAGAATTCTAAAGAATGTAGAAGTCTAAAATCAACTTACAAAAGGTGTGAAAAGGAAGGTGAGAAGGTGGAAAACAATGTTGTAGTAAACATTGTTGATGAACAAGTTCGACGTTCTTTGAATCATCTGATCTTGGGATGCGCATGCTACTCCGGTGGCAGTTGTGTCAACTATGAGGTTGGACATATCGAGGCAGTGGCTGAAATTCATTAGGGTTAAATAAAGATCCCAACATTTTTATCACATTGAAGTTTGAAATAGGTTTATTAAAAGAAGGGCTACAGGAGATTTTTGGGAGTACAGTAGTCAAATTTGTGACATCGAGAGCTTCAAAAGGAGTACAAAAGTGACTAGATTTGGAAATGTTCCAAACTTGGGTTCCACCAAGAAAATTCACAATTTTACAGCTTGGAAATATCTTGATTTATGGAATCCTAAAGTCTAGAAAAAAGTTTAGGATATATAGATATTTCGTTTTTTCAAACTTCTTAATAGAGCTAATAGCAATTAAATTAAAAGTAAACAAAAACGTTAAGGTGTATAATTATAGCATAATTGGTAGGTATGCTAGGAGCCAGAAATGTATTCTTAGTAACAATTTTTATGATGAGGATTTGTTCTAATGGGGTTGAGTTATAATCTTACGAATTTCTAGCTACGCTGTTTATGTATATCTATCGAGGATAAAAAGGATCAGAACCCAACTTGTTTATTAGTTTCGCATTTGACAAAAAAGTAAGAGAATTGGGGAGATGATAATTGTTATTTTTGGAAAGGACAGATATGATAGGATGATTAAGTATAGAGTTCTGGCTCAATTATAAATTAAAGTACAATTTTTAGGATCATTATTCCTGGAAACCGGAAAGGGGATTAAGAGGAAAACGTGCGCTTAGGATTGTACAAAAATAGTATGTTAGGAACATCCGGGATCCGGGTTCAGGAGAATTGAATTAGGAGGGATTTCGTATTTTATGGGAAAACTCGGAATCTTAGGATCTCAAGAGACAGAGAATTATAGAATACAGAAATCTGAGAGTTTCAAATTTTCCAAATCTTCAATTTTCAGATTCACAGAATCTTAGAATCTTCGATTTTCAGATTCTCAACTTCAGAATCTCGGAATCTTCAGAATTTTAGAATTTCAGAATCTTCGTAATTTCAAAATTCTACAGAACATCAGAATTTTAGATTTTCAGAATCTCAGAAACTGAAAATTCCGAAATTCTGGGAGATTCTGAATGAATTCTGGAATCTGAGAGTCTTCTGAATCTTCTGAACTGAATCTCCAGAATCCGGGAATCTCAAAATCTCATTTCCGAGATTCTGGGTTTCGGAGATTCTGAAGGAATTCGGAATCTCAGAATCTCAGAATCTCAGAATCTCAGAATCTCAGAATCTCAGAATCTCAGAATCTCAAAATCTCAGAATCTCAGAATCTCAGAATCTCAGAATCTTCGGTTGTTCATGTTTTAAAAATCTCTTGATTCTTTGAAATAGTACAGGATTCTCAAAATTTCCGAATTTCAAAACCTCAGAATCTTCAAAAACTTAGAATTTCAGAATTTCAGAATCGCAAAATTTCTGATTTGCACTCTAATTTTGTTTTTCGTAACCCAGCTAGCTATCACAACTGCAACTAAATTCTAGTCTTCAAAAAATTGGAGGTAAAAGTTAAAAAATTTTGATGGGATCCTAATTTCAAAATGTTAAATTGGAGTCTACAAACAAAAAACCCACAAAAAACTTTCTGAATGAAAAAGAAGCTATAAAATCTAAAGAGAAAAATGTGAAAAATTGAGATCTAGACTGCTCTTTCAGCTCTAATTGTCAGTTTCAGACCGGAAAAATTTTCTGAGTTCTTAAACTCGATTTTGTTCTGTTTTGTTCTCAAAGTGATTATTGAGATGTTGATATTGTTGTTTATCAAGTGCTTAGATATTTTCAAAAAGGAAGAGAATTAGAGAAAAAATTGATCGGCTGAATGTGGGCGGAGTCTAGAACATCCGAACTAGGATTATTGTTTTTATTGTTTCCACATTCTTAGAATTCCGAAAAAAAAGTTTGGAAAATTTAAAGTCGAAAATCTAAAAATCTGAAAAATTTAGACAATTTGAACCTGGTATATGTACATAAATTTTGTTTTGTTCCATGAAAATCATTATGATCATTTTCCTAATTACACCATTATTATACCTATGACAAATGCGTGCTAGGCACAAGTCAAAAACATAATTAAAGCTACAAACATCGCACAATAAAAAGAAAATAATATTTTTGAAAAATTTACAAATTACAGTTTTTTATCTGATTTTTAAATATGAAAATGTACAACAAAATGCTGCGTTTCTCAGATTCTAGAATCTTCCAAAACAAGATAAGTTTTCTACACTACTGACACTGGACTCTAGGTTTAGGTTCAAAAAGTACAGAGTTTTCGGCACTCTTCTAGACTCACGGAACGAAAAAAAATCACGGAACGAAAAAAAAATCACGGAACGAAAAAATCACGGAACGAAAAAATCACGGAACGAAAAAATCACGGAACGAAAAAAAATCACGGAACGAAAAAAAATCACGAAACGAAAAAAAAATCACGGAACGAAAAAATCACGGAACGAAAAAATCACGGAACGAAAAAAAATCACGGAACGAAAAAAAATCACGGAACGGAAAATAAAATCACGGAACGAAAAATAAAATCACGGAACGGAAATTTTGGGTAATCCAAAAATTGCAAGGACCTTCATTCAAGTACTATCCTGAAATTCAACCTTGACATTACATTTTTTTTGCTCAGTATTCAAAATGACACCCGAAATGTGGTATATTGAGTCCTTACGGTACACTAGTTGATAGTGTACATGATTAATAGGTTACATAGGACCTTTCCCAGATCTTCTGAGGATTATGGGACATATGAGAGTTAGGTTAGAGGCTGCAACGAGCAGAGTTATCAAACTTCCCGTCGTTTTTTGGGTGTCCAACATGAAGGAAACATGATGGTTCAGCCTAAGCCTATATATTAAGAAATCTTTTCTAATTCAAAATTAGTCTTCTTGGAACAAAATATTGGTCCGGAATAAGAATAGTCTTGGGCCAAATTGAGTAGAAATCGTGGCATGAAATTTCTTGCCTCGGATTTCTCATTTTTCAATAATTGGATGATATTTTTGTATTGAGGAAGCTTTCTTCAATCACAGACTTCGGCTGAAACGCCATGCTTCTTTTATCTGGAACACCCTTAAATGTCAGCAAGCTCAATAACTGCTTGATGTAGCTTTAAACTGAATTTTCAGATGTTCTACAGGTCTTATGTAACCTGTTAACTAGCGTATCTTAAGAAATTGATAAACCCTTTTTTAGTATACTTTTGGGTATTGGAAAAAGTAAAATTGATGCCAAAGTTAGTATTACGGATACTACTTGTCAAAGTAAAGAAGATAGCAGTTTTTTGGATTACCCAAAATTTTCGTTCCGTGATTTTATTTTTCGTTCCGTGATTTTTTTTTCGTTCCGTGGTTTTTTTTCGTTCCGTGATTCTAGAAGAGTGCCGAGTTTTCCACGAATTGTAATCTCAAAAATTCTAAATATGATCACTCTGAAACGCTCTCCGCTCCCTCCTGCAAATCTATATTATCTAACCCCAATTTAATTACCATAACCCAAATTACACAAGTTCAAACTAGCTAGCCAACCCCTAATTATCTTGTTTATCAGTGTTCTTACAATTACTAATGAATTTCTATTCTATATTTGCATTTTCCAGACAAGAACAAATAACGTCAGTGTACATCAAAAATCCTAGAATTTATTGGAACTCAACACCCAAGTCTATTATGATGTTTGGAAAAATTGGGACCCTTTGCGATATATTGGTCTAAAAGTGAATTTCCACGAGAAATTTCACGTCCAAAGCTGGCATTTTTTCCAGATTTCCAGACACTAAATTACGGTACCACTCGCTTTAGTTGTGTTTTCTCTCCGGTATCTCTTCGAGACCATAAAAAATGAGAATTTTACGCTGATTTACGGCGGGTCTCGAATAAAAAAACACAGCCAAAACGAGTGATACCGTAGTTTAGTGGCTGCAACTCTGGGGAAGATTTGGATAGCGTTTTCAGAGAAATTTCTCCTGGAAATTTCCAGAGAGAAAACAGTCAGAAATTCGAAATTTCAGTTTTTTTGCCTTTTTTTTCCAGACAAAAAACCGGAAGACGAGCCAAAAATAAAACCGAAATGTGTGCAAGCACAAAACGGGGGAGAAAAGTGTGACTGATGAATAAAGGATTTGCGCGTTTTGAGGTGAGGGACCTCTAGGGATCCCAATGGTGACGGTGAAGGATCTGAACAAACAAGAATCATTCGGAACAATATTTCAAAAATGAAACGCGTTGTGAAAGTTACCAAAAAAGAATACAGAATGATCCCTCTAATAGGAAGGTTTTCTGAGAGATGATTGAAAAGTATAGAGGTCACCCTCCCGGAGGTGCCTTTAGAACGATCACCTGCCGTTCAAATGGGAGTCCTATAAAATCATAAAACCCTGTATTTAAACGGCAGGTGGTCCTTCTATGGTTCTTCAGGTATCTCCAGGTGGGTTACTATACTAAAAGATACCCTTCTACTAGAGATACCATTTTTCATGTTTTTGGTAACATTGACGACTCGTTTTCTGTGCATTTATGGTTTTTTTAAAATTCGAATACGAAATCTAGTTTTTTACATTTTTTTGTTTTTCTGAAACTGTGAAATTCCGAAATCCACAAACTTGTTTTTTTTTACTTCCTTAGTCTTTTCGTTTTTATAAAACTCTGAAATTCCAGGAAATCTTGGACTTTTGATATTCTGAAATTTTGATTTTTCGAAACTTCTAATATGGCAAATTTCTGAAAATCTGAAATTCTGGAAGTCTGAAATTGTGAAAGTTTGAAATTCTAAACTCTGAAATACTGTAGTCAGAAATCTGAAATTCTTGTAAATCCAAACTTTTGATATCCTGAAATTCTGAAATTCTGAAATTCGGGAGATTCTAAATTTCTGAAATTCTGAAAATTTGAAATTACGAAATTCGGAAGATTCGGAGATTCTGAGATTCTGAAATTCTTAAACTATGGAATTCTAAAATTCTGAAATTCCGAGATTCTGAAGTTTCAGGTAATCTTAAACTTCTGAAATTTGAAACT